CAAGATATTTCAGATCAAAATCCTCCAAACTGTGCTCTTCAGTTCTCTCTTGCAAATAGACACTTTGTTCCGGACAAAGTGCAAAGTCATATCTCTCCCTTTATAGAGTAACTAATTAGTCTAATTGCTGGTCTGCTCTCCTACTGTAACCTCGTTGGTTCCTCCTTGTCAGGAGACGTCTTGTCCTGACATCTACCCAGCAATCATCCAAATTATCATCTTCTTCACCTGAAGATAACATTTGTTCCTCATTATCACCCGTTCCCGGCTGACCACCTAATTGAAGGGTGGAGGAGTTTGAAGGTTCAAGCCGACCTTGCAAATCAAATGCATTCATCTCCTCCTCATCGTTAGAACTTGCTGATTCATATAAGTCCTCCTCGCTGGAGCTGTCATTCAAAAAACCTGTAGCAGATGCCGGAATCACAACAGGTGGCATCTGGAATTCAGAAGAGAGTGTGTACTTCTGCCTTAGGGCTATACTTACACCATCCCCCTTCATAGACACTTGGGTGTGACAATTTTGAGAAGACAGCTATAATATGTCATTTACTTTTAGTTTTCTTATCACTAGGACATTTTTATATAGATTTCATCCATGACATAACTATAAGTATCATCTATCCCATTGGAAATCTGAAGAAGGTAGCCAAACAATCTCTTTGCTAACATAGTTAGGTAGTTAGCAACCAGCTATGAACAGGTTGGGTTAAACATACTGATGAAGCCTAAGTTGAAATTAACAAAACACACAATTGTTGTGTTCAAAAATCAATATTTTACCCCAATAAATCATATTATGCTTCAAAGTATTGTCTTGGATAACACAACATAGTATATAATGATTAATTCTTACAACACACCAAACAAAAATTACCCAAATCCATTTTATTCTAATCTAATATGTTGTTTAATGCTTTGTATTAAAAAAGGGGGAGAAACTGTTTTGGTGTTTGAAGGGCTCTTATGGAGCATCAAGTTAGTGAAAGGCTAGTGAAAGGCATTTTAAATTATAAGCTTTTGTCAATTAATAAATTAATGAAGGGTTAGTTAAAAAGAAACATAAATAATGGATGTGGATATAGTAATTGACCTGAGAATAAATCTACCACTGATATGAAATTACTTCAATAGAAACATTATGTTCATCTGATGATTTGGCCTCAGCTGTACATTCTGTCCACTGTAGATATATACTTTTAAATCTTAGATCTGAATCTAATGAAGGATAGGTTGAAAATATAATCTGCACCATTGGCTAACAAATACATTAACGATCCATGCAGCACAATTTAATCATGGTACTTCTCCCTGCACATAAGATCATAAATATTTTGTTGCCTGTAGATTACACCAATAAGAACACTCAGAAAAAAATTGGATTTGTTTCCAAGGTTAAAGTCAGAAGGAAGTGAGTTAAATTGATGATCCCTGAACATCAGGTCCCTGAGGACCTCATCAAAATAGCTACAGATAAAACTACACCTCAATTTTTAACTCCACCTGACTAAATAAATAAGAAAACTCTAATCCTGTTATCATAACATAAAATAGCAACTAGGTCAGAAGGAGAATCACAAGTTATTACTTTTATTATATTTTACAGACCTTAAGAAAAAGAAGATATGGCTAACTGATCCAGTTGCAGATGCTTAAAAGAATAAGGACAGAACATTTGAAAAGTCTTTTACTCGGAATGAAGAGCCAATGTGTTCCACATTTTCAATGGATATAGATATAGGAAAGATTGATTATTCCAGTAGCCTTTTCGGATGGCGTGTTGTTGTTCAAATCAACACACTTGAATAAATTGTGCAACAAAGGAGATAGTGGTGATGCTCGTAAATAGTGCTGAAAATTTGAATATTTGCTATCACTTTTAAAACTTGAAATCAAGAGAATTAATAATGACTATTTAATAGCAACAAGTAACACTCTCTCTCGCCCCCCTCTCTCTTGTGTGCCTCCCTCTCCCCACTCTTCCTCTCTCTCATTTGATAGCACGATAAACACTGTTGGATTCCAAAAATAGAAAAATGCCTAAATTCATCAGAAATATCTAAATATTCCTTTTCAAAAATTACAATCTCTTTTTGGCCAGGTAATTGAAAATACTGTATTATGCAAAGCTCTCTGCCTGATCTTATAGCAAGATTTTTTTGTTGTTGTTGACTATGACAGTTTTGAAAAGAGGAGTCATATCTGTTGAGCATATTGTAGCAAAATTGCCTTAACAAAAACGAAAACAAAAAAAAAAACCCCAGCAAAAGCAGCAATATAAATTTTAATCTGAAATCCATAACTCTATGAACTATTCTGCACTAGTTTTGAAAGAAAACTGAAGAATGAATTTCATTTTGATTTAATGCACTTTTTGACCAGTGTGCAATAATTCCTTATTTACTATATATGAACTCACAAAATTGCATCTAGATTACACCCAATATAACATTACTGATTATTATTTTTCCAGGAGATAATGTTTCATTCGTGATGATGCCTCCCCTGGTGGTTGTCTAACCTTAAACGGAAAGATGAATACGCAAACAAAAAAAATCTAATTCAAAATTAGTTGTCAAACCTGCTTTTACAAATAGAATCAAACTTTTTGTTCTTTCACAGAAAGATAATAGAAATGCAGCATTTTATCTTCAAGAATACAATTTTCCAATAGGAGATCTTCCAATAAGGAGATCTCAGAAACTCTTGAATTTCTATAAATCTAGACACCTCAAGGCAGGTTGCTGTGGAGAGAGGTATCCAGCTTCATATACAGAATAGTCCTACTTATCAACAACATATACAGAATTAAACTGTGGAAGGCAGATTCAAGTGCTGGAAGTTATGATTCCCCCCTCTTCTAGGAAAACAGCCCCCAACCTTTGTCAAGTAGGGCTATTAAAATAGCTGGAGCCAGCTTGCTTTTCACAACAAAGGAAGGAGAAAATTACAGGCATGAGATACAGAGAAAAAACCATACAAACTAGCTAAGTTCCTTTCCCATAGAAATCAAATAGATGGCAAGTTATAAAAACTTGTGAAAAGCAAACCAAAAGGCATGGCAGGAAGGAAACATGACAGCAAACAAGCAACTACAAAGGATCAGGACCATAAAACCAAGATCCCAGGAAGAGATCCCAAAGAGACAGGAATTCAACACACACAAATCAAAGTCTTCGAAGATTCATACCTACAAATCAAAGAACCTGAAGTGTATAAAAGAGAGGTTTTTCTACTCACTTATTAGATTAATCCTAGGAATGCTGTGAGATTTCTTACCTGCCTTCCTATTAATAAACTGATTCTGACTTCCAAGCAGCTGACCAAATCATTTTGCATTTTTCCCAGCCGGGAAATTTGAATCTACAAAAGGAAATAACTTTGCCTATTACAAAAGGGCAAGGCTTCTTTTTCCTTTCCTCACAAGCACACAGGCCTTGGCAGTGGCGGATTAAGGCTCACTGGTGCTCTAAACACTGACAAATCTTGGTGCCGCCTCCTTTGTACATACTGTACAAAAGAAGCCATATTCTCAACTTTATGGTGCCCACTTTGGGCCTGGTGCCCTACCGTCCCTGTCCTATTGTTTCTTTTTATTTTTCTTATATGTATCCATTTCATGTATTCATAACTATGTTTATACTTATACCTATTATCTTATAATCGCTTGACAAAATAAAATAAATAAAAATAAATAAATAAATAATGGTTAATACACCACTGGGCCTTGGCTGCTTTCAGAGTTACAGAGTATTTCTGCAAATATTTTAAGAGAGTTTTTAAATTTTTGATGAAGAAAAAACAAATCTGCCAAACAGGCATATGATGAAATCCTTACATCTGTACTCTGAGTACTTCACTGTCTGTCATTGTAGTATCAGCTTCAGTTGACACTGTCAGCTTCAGGTCAAAGTGCAAATATAGAAAATTCCCAATATGCTGGATTTGAACGTATTTGCAGGACGGCTTCCTCCAGCCATAATGATCTGCCTTAATTCAGGCATCTCAAGAAAAGCTGTTAGTAATACCCCATTTCCGCAAATTCTATCGTCTGCAGGCCCATAAATGTTTTTCATTGGTGACACCCCTGCTTGGGAAGAACCTCTGGTAGATATCAAAGCTTCACAATTCCCAGACATACTTAGTCTTCTGGAATCTTTTGAAGATTGGGATATTGCAGAAGGCATAGAGGAAGTGAAAGAACAAGCAGAAATGTTGTTTCTTTTTTCTGATTTAATTGTCACGTATACATTGTCTTTATATGGAATTTTTTTATTTTAAAGTTATGATTTGCTCCTAATTATGGTAATTGCAGGGGCTGTGGCTAATTCCAGTAGGTATTAACTTGACCAATATAGAAATAAATATATTTAAATGTTTGGAGTTGAAATGATCTTGCAGGTCAGTACAGGTATAAAACAATGAACAGCATACTGAACAGATGACTGTTCAGTTTCTACTAAAATAGCAATAGCAATAGTACTTAGACTTCTGTACCGCTTCACAGTGCTTTAAGGCCTCTCTAAGCAGTTTACAGAGTCGACATATTGCCCCCAACAATCTGGGTCCACATTTTACCGACTTCAGAAGGATGAAAGCTCAGTCAACCTTGAGCCAGTGAGATTCGAACTGCCAAACTGCTGGCAGTCAGCAGAAGTAGCCTGCAATATGACAATCTAACCACTGCACTACCACAGCTCATGAATAAATACTACCAGCAAGAGAGAATCCATAAATTCTCAAGGAAATCCATTTCACTCAACATTTTCTTTTTTATCATTAAGTCAATTATTCCAATCCTGAGTTAAAATTAGCTTCACTGCAAATTCTACCCAGTTTTTACAGAAGAGAAGTAGTTTATGAACATTTAGCAACACTTCTGCACACAGTTATTTATAGTTAGTCCTCAACTTACAACAGTTCAATTATTGACCATTCAAAGTTACAATGGCACAGAAAAAAGTGACATATGACCGTTTTTCAAACTTATGACCGTTGCAACATCTCCATGGTCACGTGACCAAAATTCAGATGCTTGGCAACTGATTCATATTTATGATGGTTGCATAGTCTGGGGTCATGTGATTACCTTTTGTGACCTTCTGACAAGCAAAGTCAATGGGGAAACCAGTTTCACTTAACAACTGTGTTAACCGTGTTAACAGTGTTTAACCGTGTTAAATTAACAACTGCTGTGATTTATTGAACAACTTTAACAACTCATTTAACAAAAAAGGAAGAAAAGTCATAAAATGAGGGAAAATTCACTTAACAACTGTCTCACTTAGAAACAGAAATTTTGGGCTCAACTGTAGTCATAAGTTGAGGACTATCTGTATAAGCAGAGATTTTTTAAAAACATGCTGAAGAAGTAAACCCAAGATGTGTCTCTTGTCAGCTTTCCCAGATAGATCAGACAGGAAACACAACCAGATACTCCATTGTAAGGCTATAGTAACATAAACTTGCAATTTGAAAGTAAAATTCTCTCACCACCAGAGGGTCCCTCTGAGCCTCTTTCTCCACCCATTACGCAGCTGCTGGCTATGCCCCTATTAGACAGAGGTGGCATTCAGCAGGTTCTGACCAGTTCTGGAGAACCGGTAGTGGAAATTATGAGGAGTTTGGAGAACTGGCAAATACCACCTCTGACTAGAGATTTTACAGTATCCTTTCCCTGCCACGCCCACCAAGCTACGCCCACAGAACCGGTAGTAAAAAAAATTGAATCCCACCACTGCTATTAGACTGTTCCCTAGGCCAGAGGTCTCCAACCTTGGCAACTTTAAGACTTGTGAAGCTTCGCTGGCTGAGGAATTCTGGGAGTTGAAGTCCACAAGTCTTAAAATTGCCAAGGTTAGAGATCCCTGGCTTAGGTAGCATATCTCCCCATCCCCATTATATTCCCACATACCATTGCATCTCTTTTGGGCAGCAGTCACTTTTAATTAGTCAGGTCCACTTCCCTTCTTTTTCATTTGTAAGCAATTTTACCAACTTGAGATCTGTAAGTTTCTTGATCAGAGTTTCAGTCCGCCCCCTCACAGTGACCCAGCTTCAAAGAAATAGCTTACTAAGATCACCAGATACCTTTGTTTTTGTTTTGTTCATTTGAAATATGATATTTGGTCTCCATCAGCAAAACATGCATCCTAGAATTACTTAACGATTAATAAAATGAGTTTTGAATGCATGTTTTAGAAGAACCTTCACAGAGGATGCCTCAACCTCTTCAAGGATTTGAATTATACCGATGTGTAGATCCTGGGTTAAATTACTGAAATAATGTAACTTCAATTAATGTAATAGATTTGCACACTTTGAACTGTTTCATGACAATATTAAGTTATTCTTTTATTTAAAAATATTAATAAGATGGAGAAAAGAAACCAGAAAGGTCTGAGTTAGCATGAATTTTCAAGCATCAGGCAGGAGATGTCTACCTCAAGAAATGAGTGGGCTGTCAGGAAATCTTTATGACTTCAATCAACTTAATAAACTATATTGAAAACTAAAGTAATTTCTTGCTATTTCAGTGCCTCTCAATTTATTATGTATTAAGGGAAGAAACCAAAACAAATCCATCATCTTCTGATATAGTTAGTTTTGATTATCTAAACAATTCCCCCCACTCCCAAGCATAGTGGCAATGGATGCTAAGATATAAATTAAACAGAGGGATCTTATCCGGCATGTTCTTTATGCTAACAACTCTATACTGAAGAGAAGAGTAATAAATCAGAAGATTTGGGAAAATGGTTTTGTGCATCCATAGAAAATAAAAACAGGATATTAGCAAAAGAGCCATCTGTTCTAGGCCTGCAACTGAATAGCCTTTGCATAATATAGCTCAGGGAACATTCTTCTGCATAATGGATCATCCATCCTTTATGTCAAAGTTTCCCACTTCAACAATTTTAGTATGTGTGGACTTCAGCTCCCAGAATTCCCCAATCGCCATGGGAATTCTGGGGGTTGAGTTCCGCATGTTTGCTGTGAGTTCCGCATGTTTGCTGAGGCTGAAAAACACAATTTTAGGTAATGTTAACTTTGTAGAATATCATGGTCTTGGATATGGCCTCTAGGTCAGGGAAAGGCCAGCTCACAGGCATTTAGACCATTTTATCTAGACATTTGAGCACTGCAATGAAGAATTTGAAGAAACTAGATGAAAAATGTTGGGAAATTCCAAAATGAACTTGGCCTTTCCTTTACAGCAAAGAGTGTTACTCCTACCTCAGGTTCACCACAATCACATTCTTCTCCCTCTTCTACATAGCCGTTCCCACATTTGGGGCCACCAAATGATTCCTTAACCTCTGGAAGGTTGAAGAGACACATCCCCACGCCTTTCTCCAAGCTGTTTTCCAAGTCCTTCTTGCTGCAGCTGCTGAACATCATAGGAAACGGATAGCTAGAGAAAAACAGGAGAAATTTTGTTACTATAATGGAATTTAGGTGAAAGAAGACGCCCTAACATGCTGCCTTGTTCTAAATTGTATAGCATCATAATACACTATAATCAACAAGGCAATGAGTGTTCCCTCTATTGGGGATTAAATGCAAGCATTTTGACAATTGCTGATGTAAATGCTTCTTCCACAATGCATACTTTGTGTACATTAATAATTATTATAAACACACAAAACAGTCTTAAGAAAAACAGACTGCATAAAATTAACTGCAGTATATTTTATATATCTTTTAGTAAAATAAACATGCTTAGGGATAACTAATCCTCACTCCTGTACCTCTAAGCCCTCCATATCAAGGCAGATTTTACAAAGTGGGTAGTTTTGGGGGAGAGAAGGAGTAGGAAATGGGACACAGCAGATTAGAATCTGTAGGAAGGGAAAATTTGCATTACAACTGCTTGCTTGACAAGTTTGAAATTACAACTAGGCACTGGAAAGGGTGATTTATGGCCTGTAAAGCACTCCTAACCACCATAAAACATCCACCCACCCCAAACACATGACCACATTTCAAATATTGGTAACCAGCTCACATTTATTATAATAGTTTGCAGCATCCCGTGGGCCAGGATTCTGATGGTTTTGGGGGCATTTCCCAGCAGAAAATGGCAAAAAAAGAAGTGGTCATTGGATATGCTGGATTCACTTAACAAAGACATGATCCACTTAACAACCACATGGCTCACTAATATGACTTGCTTTACTACCATCATAAAAGCAGTTGTAAACTCTAGTCAGGTTATGGTGGTGGCCCTTTTAATGACTGCCTTGACTGATGACCAACATTCCAGGCCCAATTCTGGTTGTAAATTCAGGATTCCCTATAATACTCTAATAGCAAACCATGGATCAAATGTTTGTGCTGCTTTTGCTACCGATTATATATAAGGACACTCCTATATATTTTTAACATAAAGAGTTTCTGTGAAGTTTCTACATTTTAAATCTTCGTTTTTATGCTCTTGCATGCTTCCTTTGGTTTTCCGTTGGATGTTTGCCATTCAGTTAATCGTGAGTGAGGCTCAAAAACCTTTCTATTCAGTTTAATGCCAGCTGTAACTGGAAGGTAGCAAGGACATCATGCCACAGCTATGGACACTAAAAGAATGCCAAAACACACATACTAGCTCTTCTGGGACATTTCTTGTGATTACATTAGCTTGAATCACAACCATCTGGCGAATAAAAAGCAAACTGCCTTATTTTCTAGGCTCTGGAACCAATTCTCTTGTCCTTCTGCATTCAACCAGCAGATTCACACTATAGCTGGATAGGGAGTCAGCCAGCTCAATAATCACTGGAGTTTGTTCCCAAAATGTCTTACATCAATCCTCTAAAAAAGGTAGGATGAAAACTTAAACAGACAAATAAGGGAATAAACAGAAAATCTGCATAATTGAACGAGAAAGTGTAATGACTATAATCTATAACTGAGAAAGAGTGTGTTCTAACTCAAATAACAGATAACAGATAATCAGAGTTGAAAGGGACCTTGTGGGTCATCTAGTCCAACCCCCTGCCCAAGCAGGAGACCCTACACCATTTCTGACAGATGGGAGTCCAATCTCTTCTTGAAAGTCTCAACTGATGGTGCTCCCACAACTTCCGAGGGCAAGCTGTTCCATTGGTTCATTATTCTCACTGTCAGAAAGTTTCTCCTTATTTCCAGGTTAAATCTTTCCTTGTTCAGTTTCCATCCATTATTCCTTGTTTGGCCTTCGGGTGCTTTAGAAAATAGCTTGACCCCTTCCTCTCTGTGGCAGCCCCTCAAATATAGGAAGACCGCTATCCTATCTCCCCTGGTCCTTCTCTTCACTAGACCAGCCATACCCAGTTCCTGCAACTGTTCTTCATATGTTTTAGTCTCCAGTCCCCTAATCATCCTGGTTGCTCTTCTTTGTACTTTTTCTAGAGTCTCAACATCTTACTTATAGTGTGGTGACCAAAACTCATCAAATAAGGGAGTCTTATTAAAGGAATTGAAGAAAAATGACATCCCTCTTTCTGTTTACAGTTAAGAAATTATGGCTAAATAAAAATGTCTCCTCCATATCACAGGTTGGAGATTTGAATTGCGTCCTGTAATTTTATTTTTAGGAAGAGCAGCATTTTCACAAGCCTCTGGTGAAGATCAGTATGACTTTGCTTCATTTACAGTAGTAACCTGAGCCTCCCCACATATATTTTTAATTATTTCTTTTGCATATGCTTGTTGCCATTTTGTGCCATGATCCTTTCTCCCCAAAGTCTTACGTCCCCTTACAAGGAATCAAGACTACTGCTTTCCCCATTTTTTTTGTTTTCTTTTAAAAAGAATTCAGACAAGCTTAGAAGCAAAACTATCACTGCACTCAGCATCTTCCTTTCTCCTAAAATCAGCTAGAGGAGGAAGACAGAGCTTTGGCTGATTTTTTTAAATAATCTGGGTGGTGAAAATACTGGGTTATGGGACAGTGGCCTTTTGCACAATTGTTCTGCAACAGTGACATATTCATATGACCTGAAGTGATGTGAACATCAGGAATAAATAAGAGTAATCTGGGAATTACAAGAAGTAAAATGAAAGAGGAGTAGATACATTCAATATGAAGATTTATGTGGCCTTCTAAATACAACTCTTGATGCCAACAGTCTTTGTTGAAAAGGCCAACAAATGTGACTACATTATTTCACAGGCCCAAGAACTGCTCAAATTAATGCTCCGTGACAAATGTACAATAGGTGCTTCATAAGTACCTCTTCCACTGGCCCATGGAGTACAGTAGCAGAATTGTTTAGAATCTGTATCTATGTTAACCGATATGTTGTACTGCATAAACTGCTTAGTTTAGGCATTGAAAACGTAAATTGAGATTTCAAGCCAGACACAGAGGAAAGTTATTTCATCTCAGTCTCAGAGATACATTTTTCAAAGTAAAAATGAAGTGAAACAATTAGATATGCATCGTATTCCTCTTTGCATTCAGAAACCAGTCTCCATTCAGATGCAAAATGTAGCCTTCCAGTTGCTCTCCATGTAAATTTAAGAATCATGTCATCTTGGTATCAGTTTCATTAATATACAAGTTGTGTCTTGGCTTATTGTGTTGATACTGATACCCAGATGGTAGCCAATCAGAACTGGGATTGGAAGACAATACAATAGTCTCAAATCATGACAAATGCAAAACAGGGATTTTTTTTTTTTTAGTAAATACTAAAAATGTTACATAGAAAAAGGAAGATACGCCAAACTACAACCCTTTGGCTTAAAATGAACAATGGACAAAACTTCTGGAGCTATCTGGCAGCTGAGTGGCACTTTCCCAGGACTTTAGGTCAATGTTGAAGTTCTTCGTATTTGCAGTATTTTGCTAGCCTTTATACTTTTTACGACAGTAAAATACTTGGTGATAGCTTGGTGGTGCACCTTATCCATGACTTGGTTACAACTAAGCTAATTGACTTACTGCCAAATATATTGTTTAAGTAATGCATTGTCTCCAGCATGCACCATGAGAAGATGGTCTGGTGACATATCTTATCAATAACTGAAGAAGCCAGACAATGCTCGCTCAGAGGTATTGGTACATGAGACATTGTTTCTAGGATGGGGCTACCCGCTCTCCCTTCTACAGGGATCACGTTACAGAGATCATATCCTTCTCTTTATCTTAATTGTTGTAAGTAGCAAAGGGTTGATATGAGAGTAATTACATACGAGTTGAAGAAGCAAAAGTGATTACTTTCAAATTGCAGTAGATTGTTAAGTAACTCTTGCTTAGCACGGGTAGAGAGTGTGGAAGAGTTCACAATGCAATGATGTAATTTGCAAAGCTTGCTAAATACCACTAATTGCTAGCCTGGGGAATTCCATTTTATACGTATATAGATACAGAAAAAAATGGGGTACACTACTACGTCTCCCCACTAATTTTTTAGCAGTAACGCAAAACCCCATTCAAAGTGCTGTTTTTACCCAATAAAAAATTTAAACAAGGACATCAAAAAGATTACTACTTAACTTTGCTTATTCTAGTAATCATTGGAGGCCCTGTCATGCACCTTACAACACTCCAAATCCTTCTATCATGGTCTATCTAACATGAAACAGTGCCTTCATTTCACCTGCTTCATACCTAGTAGACTTTTGACTGAAAAATTGTTTGTCCCCTCTTTCCTTCCTGACTCATCTCTTCTACCAAAATTTCTACCCTATTCCAGTCTAGGATCCTTCTCCCACCATTTAGTTGAGACTAGGAATTAGGAAACTGTGAGTTCTAGTCTGTTTTAGGCATGAAAACTAGTTGAGTGATTTTGGGGCAGTCACTCTCTTACAGCCTATGACTTTCTTAGGTGATAAACTGATCAATCAGTTCCTGTCATAACCAATGGATCAACACTTGACTGATCTGGGAAAAAAAGCAGACCCTGCACTGTGAGACAACACCAGAAAAGGAGGGAAGGGAAGAGAAAGATTATGTAAGTTTCTGTCTACCAGCATAGCCAGTAAAAGCCAGTGTTTGATCCTGCAGATTCTGCTTTAAAGATTTAACACTTTTTAATGGAAGCAGATCTGAGTTACTTTTTAATGAGCGTTTTTAAAAAATAAAACACTCCATAGCTGATCCTCTTTTTTCTACAGGTCATTTTTAAGATTGGCACTATTACTTTTTATTCTTTGAAAGATTTTCCATAGCGTGGTTTCAAATGTTGGTTTGAAAGTTACAGGAATAGCAAAATAAAATAAACAGTAACAACGGAACAGTTTAAGCAATTGAGATTGGGAAGAAAAATGTCAGTAAATATTTCCGTAATTAACATTTAATATTTATGACCATTTCTCTAGGCAAAGATTTCAAGGGCCTCTCAATGGGACAGAAGATGCTTTGATCTGTGCTGGTGGCCACAGAGTGTCATTATTAACTGATGCTATACTTCAGCCTTCAAAGGATCTTCA